CAAAAGGATGGAGCTCAGATTAATACTGTGGCCCCAGCACTAAGGCACGAGTCCACGGCGCTGATTTTCAGCACCAGCCCGTAGAACAAGAGGGCATAAAAGCTAGGTTTCATTAAATTCGGTTCAGTAATTTCCATGATTTTGGCTTAAAAGCTTGTATAAAATCCCAAGTCTAGTAAACGTTTTTAAATATTACATTTGCATCCACTCTGTCTGTCTATCATAGAACACAAGATTATACAACGTTTACCTCATCTCCGACTTACTAAACTTGTTTTACAGCATTTTTAATTAACTTAGATAACTTCTTTTTCTCGTTCACGTAGGTACTTGCTATTACTGGTAATTTGTAGATAGTATGGCTTTTACTTTATCGACGAGTTTTATAAATGCGTTATGATTGTAAGAGAGTTTTTATTTAGCTTTGCAATAGAAGGTCCAAACTTCATGCTCACGGTTTAAAAAACTGTTATTTGGTACATTAAGATGCTGCACCACTTAAAGGCTTACTAGTAAGAATGCTTAAGACATTAAATCTACCGATGTACAATTAAAAGTGCATAAAATTAAAAATACATAAAGAAGGTGGTAAACAAGTGTATGATTTATCTGATGTCAAGAAGTTACCATAGCTTAGAAGACATCTTCAACATTGGAGGTGTCGGTCGTGTCATTTGGACTGGCCCTGGTATATAAATTAAAGTGCCAGTCACTTCAAATGTTACAATCAGTTCTCCAGTATTAACTAAATATACAAACTAAGAAAACAATAAGAGATAACATATTTGTGTTTTTGGTAATCAACTTAAAGAAATTAAGTTAAATCTTCTATTCTATATGATTGCTTTACAAGTCATCTTGCATCTTTAACGGCCCAATATGAACTTATTTAGTTGTCTTAAATTTGAAGGAAGCCCAAAACCAAATTATCATCAGTTACTATTCAGAAGCAGACATCAACAAGTGGGCAACAATTAACAAAACACAAAACAGACAAAGTAACAACAAGTTAAATAATCATCCTTGCCACAAACAATTACTAAAAAAGTCACACAAAAACACAGAGAGTCACCCTTGAGCAAAACAATACATTAATTAATGTTTAAAACAAAAACGATGTAGCTGCATTTGTGTTTGTACAAGCTCACACGGGACGGGATGGAATCGCAATCGCGAACTATGTCGTTTCGACGTTATGCTGACGTAATTGTGCGAAACACTGCGTTGTGCAACGCATTGTTCTAAAGATCTGGTTCGGTTTTTGTCAGCTGCCGTGTGCTGGTTATTAAGAAAGGCTTTAATTGTTGACTTTTTGATGTTTTTATCGAGTAATTGGTTAATTTAACTGTAAAGATTGTTTTGTTATTGTGTGCTTTGTGGACCTAGTTACTGCAACGGTCCTAGGGATGAAAAAATGTGCACAATCACCAGAAAACATTTACATTCATGACTTTCATCACTAAAGGACCCTATGTTTGTACAGCGTCTGTATAATCTGATATAATAATAATATAATCTAGGACAATTTAAGACAGTTTAATTAATTAGTTTTAAGACAGTTTGCTAGGTATAATACTATGAAAAGGTATAGTAAGATCAACAGATTGTATGGAAGTATGCAAAGAGCCTTCAAATAAAATTCAAGTGGTCTATAAAAATAAATTCACCTTTGAATAGTTATTGTTAACATTGACATTAGAAAACGTAACAAAACGCGTTTTATTATTTCAATTTAGTTTAATGGTTTACGTAATCGCCCTGACACGTTAACGGTATTTAATTCTTTAAACTACAATCAATTGGTACTTGAAAATTTTCTTAGTTCTCATTGTGCTGGTTCTTCCTGACGATTTTTAACTATAACTATAGTAATTTAAATTAATCGATATATTTGTTGTAAATATTGGTATGTTTTCCAAATCAAAAGTGTTTAGAAAATTCAAACTCAGCATAACCACTACAGATGGGGCCTAACAGGGCCGATGTTCTGCCGGGGTTGCGGAACAAGCGCAAGTAGATACCGTGGTCTCAGCTTGGAGTAAGTTAGTAAATAAGTAACGGGGGTTTTAGTCAGTAAGTGTTATAAACACCCTCTGGCCTTAACTTAGTCGAAAAAAGTCATTTTGATGATATTCCCCTCACATAAAAATACATAGCGTGAAAAGTCTATACAGTTTAGCTGTATACCTAATAATCTTCTTTTTGGCGTAATGCAAGTAAATTCAATATTATAAAAAAGAAAGGGTGTATGAATAAATAATTAGTAAAAATACAATTGAATTAATATTGGACCTAAAATAAAGCCTTGAGGGACTCCATCATAATATCCAAATTTGCGTTCCTCTGTGCATTGCCATTCTTTGTAAAAATACTTTAAATCTCAATGATAATGCTCACGGTAATTAAGCAAGTATGTCGTGTGAACGAACGCGATCTTGGTATTTCATAATCTATTCTAATTCTTATCAGGTTCCTTCTACAGATTAATTTGTGCTTCAGTTTGTAGGTTAATCTGGTTTGAATAGTTTTAACTTGATGTAGGTCAAAGTGTAAATTAATTGATTTTGTTCGGACTACGATAGACGCATATTTATTGATAAAAACACTGATTATAAATTTGCTTGTGTTTTTCAATCAGGGTGGACGACAGCAAATTTATTTGCGAATTGCTTGCCTGCCTTAAAAGAACTTAGTAAAAATATCTAATCTCTAATTTATATTATCGCTAGCATAGCACTGTTGGGTTGTATTTCCTTATTCCTTCTGAATTATAGCTTTTCCTGACAAATAATAGGAGTTAAAACTATCAAACTTCTTGGAGAACTAGAAACCTTATTTCAAATCTATTTTAAACAATGAAATCAAATACTAAAACCACTAGAACAGGTCAATGAAACAGATACATAGTAATTAAATAATAATGACATTCCGAAATGAGTTGCAACATTGTAAGCAGATATCAATAATGACGGGGTTGCAACATATTATTCAATAGACGACGATTAATTAGCTAACGAGGACGATTATAACGGTGTCCTAGTGTTGAACGGTCATGGTTAGTGACCTGTCAATTAACCTAGCGGTAATTAGACTGCTAAAGCAAGGTAGCGGAGTACGCTACGTTTTGTAGGATATGCAATAGTTGTTTAAGGCTTGCAGAATCGGATGCATTTGTTGATGATAAAAGAAATGGTCAAGGTATTGAGAATTGATTGGTTTATTTTTAACAAGTATATAATTATTATTTGTTTCAAACATTTTGCCAAGTGATCAAGTAATCATCTGCCAAAAACCTTAACCTTAACCTGTCAGACCTCTCAGCCGGGGTTGCGGGGTAAGCGCAATGAGGTACCGCGACCTCGGCACAGAGCAGGAGAAGGAACAGGGGGGTTTTTAGTCAGTAAGAGTCTGACACTCCCTCCTGCCCGGCTCTGGGCGGGAGAAGTCATTTGATGATTTTCCCCTCACAAAAAAAAAAACCTGTCAGACCTCTGTCTGTTGAAAAGAAGAAAGAGTTTCTTTTGAAATCGGCAGATGAATTAAAACTTACTTATCTAATCAACCCAAATTAAGTCGATGGAGTTAGGAAAACTAATGATGCAGTTAGATGAATATTAGTTACAACTCCTGAAAGACAGTGAAAACATTTTGTTTATTTATTTAATAATTTTTGTACACACAGTAAGTTGGACAAGAAAAATAATACAACAATTTATTTTATTTGTTTTTGCTCTTGAGATCTGGACTTAAATACGGATAGATCTCCCTATCCACTTATTTGAAGAGGTCTCTATTGTTGACAAGGTTCGTACCTTTAATTGAAACAAGGTCGGCTATGTACTTGGAAAACATGCTGGCTATAAATTGATGATCCAATAGATGAATGGAAAATTCTGGATGAATGGCGATATACGGAAACTTTAATTGTAGCTTTAAAAATCGTGTTAGCACCTATTGGAAGTGGAGTATTTTGGTATATCTATTCAAAAGTCATTGAGACTATGGATACAACGTTTGCCGCTGAATTTTTATTTCGTCTAGCGATGGATGAACTTTAAGATACGAAGAAAGAATACAGAAGTTCTTAGGTTTGATGGCATATTGGCAAGTTTCTATTTCTTAGTAGAATTTGCCACGTAGTCTCGAACTGTTGTTAAAGAGTTAGTCTAAGTTAAGTTCTCAAAGGACCATATTCAGTATTGTTCTTTCTATGACGTCTTATTATTATTCATTATTATCTCAATGCACGTAAATATTATCGAACACGATGACAATGTGACAATAAACTATAATGATTTAGCATTTCACCAGTGAGTCACAATTTGACGCCTCATTCATAATATCAAGTCATTATTTAATATTCCTGCAATGATTCCATCTTGTAATGATGACCTAAATGTTTATTAGTTGATTTGTTCTGTATTAGGTAGTTCTATTGTTTTTTTAATGTGCCCTACGCTAGTGTAAGCAGTCAGTCTTTCAGTTGTTATCTCTCCGTCGCCAACTGTTGTGATTTGTCTCTCTGGAAACCTTAGTGCCTTCATGATTACTTTAAACATTATTAAAGTTTAGTAGATGGTTTAGTAAGAGGTAAATAAATCTTTTGATATGTAATAGATATTATCAGTACCAAAATACATCGTCTACTACGTCTTTATCACTTTCTTGGCTACACAGCTTTGAAACCAGTATAATATGACATTTAAATGTGCGGCATAATCGTAGAAAGCGAGATCATAATACTCGTACAACGGATTTGAGTTAAGTGTGTGGTTTATGTGGTTGCCGTGTGGACCAATTTTTTTGAAGATGCTTATATGCTTTTCCCTTGTCGCCATCTGATGTTATCCTATTACAAATCCATTATATTTCATAGGGTTTCTTGCAACTGTCCTATAGGTACTGTTCTATAATCGTCCAGTTCCACCATTTTAAAATTCAATGCCAGTTTTTCTGTACCATTTTTGTTGATAATAACCATTGTATTTCTTTTGCTGCAGATAACCAAAGATGGAGACGAGATGGAAATGGGTGCTCATCTGGACAGCTCTTTGTTTTACGTCAGGTATGTTGTTAATTATTATTTATTACACAAAACCCCGATTCTATAATCATAAGCACTCTGAAATGCATCACATCGCGTTCATATAAAGATTACTTTTCCATAGTTTGTTTCTCAAGTTCTCTAGTTTTATCACTGAAAGAGTTATTGGTTCATAAATATAATATTTATGTCCAGTTTTAGTTATGACTTGAGTAATATATTTTGATTTAAAACGAAGTGACCTGATCTGAATATAAGTGGTGTTTTGGCCTGTCTGGTCCGCCCTGTGATTGCAACTATATGTACGCCTCGGGTCGAAAACAAAAATCCAAAAAAGGAATATTTATATTTGTCTTCGGTGTAAGAAATAGTATTTGATCAATCAGGTTAACCAGATGTAGAGAGTATTTCCAGGTATAATTCAGTGGTTAAGCGTCATTGAAAAAATATTGGACAAGATATTGCATTTTACACTAATTTGTTTTAACTAAGGAGGAGAGATAATTGCAAAACTGTATAAAATCTTTTGTTTATCATACTCTACAATACTGTTAGATAGGAAATATTGCATCTTTCGTTTTTAAATAATATTATTACTAGTGACAATTATTGCAAGATCAGTGAACAGTAGGTAATTAGTATGACTACTGAATATACTGACTGACAGACAGCGTAAGTACAGCCCTGACTGCTGGCTGTAGAAAGCTGTAAAATGGAATTTCAAAGCTTGGGCTCCACCAAAGGGTGATGGCACAAGCAGAGCAGAGGTTTTTTGCAAGAACTCGTAGAATCACTTAACGACTCAACTCCTCTCCAATTTGGCGGGCCAATACTGTTATTTGAACCGTAACATTGATTAGCACTATTAACAAGTATCGCATTGTTTCTTTTTGAGATACATCTATCCATAAATGTAGAATGTGTGGAAATTGTGTAATATAGGTTTTTGGAGCAAAAGTAGTTTATTGGTTATTTTATGGCCAACTTGATACTATTCTTATAACGTAACCTTATGCCTCTTAAATGGATTTTCGAATAGCGTAGAGGTGGTTGATGCTCCCGGCTCGAGTGTAGTTGTTATGATTTTCTTTAAATATGGACCCACAAAAACTAGTTATAAGCCAATTGTTACATATTTTTAGGATTCCGTAGTAAACTAGGAACCCTAAAGTTTCGCCATGTTTAAAAAATAACGCCCTACACTAAGGTTTTCTCTTGTGTCGTGGGTGCGTTTACAAACATACAAATTCACATACTCAAGCCACTCAAACCCGAAATAACAATTTGTGGATCACACTAAGTGTTGTTCCGTGCGGGAATCGAACTCGCGACACGTTTCACACATAGCAGCTAGTTGCCCAGCCACTGCGTCGACTGTGCAGTGTGTATGGACTTTGTCTGAAGTAAATTTAACTCAGCGAACAAACGAAAGAGATGAAAAATGACAATAGAGATAACCATTTTTCAACCAGTTCAATTTTCGACCCACAATATTTGACTGACAAATTTTAACAATAATAAATGTTTATAGTACGTGTTGATCATACACAATGTAAGGAGGTAACGGTGCAAGTGATATCACAGTGGTAGTAACAGGTGCAGTATCCGTTCCCGGACGGTAATCTGATACGACCCCGAGAGAGGTCAGGCGCAGGAATAACGGCTTTCCTTGTTGCTTGCTATCTGCTTGTTGTTCAACAACCATAAAAAACTTACACACTGTGAATATAGTGGTCCTAAGATTAAATTTCTATAGTTATTTACTGTTCGAAATATAACCCTTTTTTGCAGTTGGCCTAGCACAAGGGTCAGATATTATTAAGATAATTATTTGCCCTCTTAACCTTTTTTTTCATCATCAAATGACTTTTCTCGCCCATGGTGAGACCATACGAGGGAGTTTCAGTTTCATAGTTCTTACTGACTAAAACCCCCCGTTCCTTCTCCTGTTTTAGGCCCAGGCCGTACCTTATTGTGCTAGTCCCGCAACCCCGGCTATCTACTCAATCCGTCTTCTTGCTTTTTGCATACATAGAAGTACGAAAGAGGAATAGGTCATATACGTATCATGGTACAGTATTTGATTAATTCGGTACAAAACCAATTATACTACTCAATTCTTAGGTACTCGTATATTAAACTTAAGCATTAACAAGCATTAAGCAAGCAAGCAATAAGCATTCTTTCGTTCGATAAAACCTAAGGCTCTGGCTTAGCATCCAGGAATCTATTTAAAAGAATTATCGCGCGCGGGAGAAGTAATGATATTTTTGTAGTCAACAATAAAAAGAAATATTAAATTATTATTTTTCTGTTTCAGGCTCAACAAATATGCTGCCAGTGTTCACACAGGATATGAACAACCTCGCGTTATCAGAGAGCACGCCAGTAGGAACTATAGTCTACAAACTGCAAGGAACTGACCCTGAAGGATTACCGGTAAGCATCTTCTAGTGTTTTTGTTTCACGGTAAGGCGTTTGACAATTTGACTTTTACTAAGTTATGCAATACCGCCAACGTATCTTGGCGAGTCTAAAGTTAGCTGATTAGCTGCTCAGTACACAATTTTGTTCCTAAAAGATCCATTGCGCAGACGGCTAACTTCAGACTCGCCAAGATACGGCGGCCGTACTGTATGTAAGTTTCTATGATTGATTAGACACCACTGACATGTGAAGGAAAACTTCTTGAGTAGACCTGGACTTTCTAACTATAAGTTTGAAATCGCCAATCCGCCTTGAGCAAGTGGTTAATGTTCACACCTCTCTGTGCAAGAGGAGGCCTTTGTTCAGTTGACACTTCATATAGGCTGATGATGTGATGTTAAATTTATTTGCAGATAAAATACAGTTTGGTGGGCACAGACAAGTTTTCGGTGAACCCTGACACCGGTGACGTCACGTTAGAACGACCGCTTGACAGAGAAGTAAGTTTCTTCTTCTTATTCTTCTATCTTCTGTACTGTACTATTGAAAACCTACGCTGTCCCAACTTTCACCATTATTTCTTGGTTACTTTGGGGCTGGACCCTCTAGTCGAGTCAAGCCTGCTTAAGTGACAGAACAGAACACATAAAACCTTGACCTATCGCAATGCATTTTACCTCAGTAACGATATCATATTTTTTCACAGTTCATAGCCAACTTCAATATATATATAACTAGCTACTATCGCGCGGTTTCACCCGCTGCTCATAGCGTGCATTTGATCGTAGCGTGGTGTTTAATAGCCTATATATAGCACTCAGAAACATTGAAGAATTTTGGCAATGCGACCAGCGGTTCCAAAGATTACCCCTATATATACTAATTTACAAACTTACTAATTTTATCTCTTTTTAATAATAGAATAGATAAAGAAGTCCATAAAAACCCAAAAAACAAAATTACATAGGTATTTTATTTGTAATTCTCACCAAAAAATTCAAGGCCAAAACGGTATATATTATGTTCTCTTTGAAACAATGACTGGTAAAACAAAGCATGTATTATGCATATAGGTACACAAAAAATATATATAATTGTTGTATAATATTACAACAATAGTGTAAATATTATAAAATATGCACCAGTGTGTATAATATTATGATGAATTTAAACAGTTTTTTTTATAATACAAAGGTGTTTTGGTATGTGGTATATGTGATGTCTGTACTCAAGTTTCTGAAGGTTTTATTTTATAAATATGCATATATAATTCTGTTATGGCAGATAAATAATATACATATATGTACTGTCCATAATAACGGGTTCAATGTTAGTAAAACTAGCAGCTCGCCCCAGCTATTGATTGCAACTCTGCGAACTTTCCTTTAATTTATTTTTGTTGACTTTTATATTATTTCAAAGGATTTGTTGGCAATCACACTCGTTGTACCACAGATCATAGAGTGAGTTTATTCTATAGAGCTGTCATCATAGACTACATTGACCATTGATTGTCATAGATTAGTTAAAGATCGACTAAGTAAAGGCGACAAATTTAAAATTAGTTTAACAATTTTCATATAAAACTTTTACCATTTTAAAATCTTTTTTTATCGATGGGGGCAAAAGCATCAAATGACTTCTCCCGCTCTGGGTGGGGCGACGGAGAGTGTCAAACTCTTACTGACTAAAAACCAATAAGTTCCAGCTTCTGTGCCGGGCCGAAGCTACGGTAGCTTATTGCGTTTGCATCCGCAATCCCGGCTGATTTTAAAGCTGACTCACATAAACTATGGAAGAACTGTTTGTTTTTAAATTTGGAACGTTTAAAAACATCCGTTTTTACACCCTATTTGGTCTGAGTAGTTGTTGCCAGGACCGTCATAAAGAGTCTATTACCACGTCTATTACGATGCCTATAAGTAACAGAATTGTTTAAACTTTCTTATAAACTTTAAATTGTGTAAGCAATCAGTATAGTCAACCTTCTTAATGTTCCAGGTGGAAGATACGATAAAGTTCTTGGTCTCCATAGAAGATGAGGACCCTGCCAAGGTGCAGAACTTGGTGCAGTCACAGCCCGTCACTGTCATCGTGCTCGACGAGAATGACAACCCGCCTATGTTTAAAAATGTAAGAGATAAGTCAATCTAAATCATAATACCTAAAACATTAAGTTCTTATTCAAAATAAGACTTCTGATTTTTTTTTTATTGTCGTATGTCGGCAAACCAGCTGACGGATTACCTCATGGTAAGCAATTCGCGCCGTCTTTGGAAAGTTGTACCATGAAAGTTGCTACAAATGCGTTGCCGGCCTCTTGTGGGAGTTAGGGAATTACGGATAGGGAATTTGAGGATAGAGAATGAGGGGGGGGGGGATAGGCGAGGATTAGGCCTCCGGTAACCTCACTGAGTAAGTGTTGCTTCACTCCGGTTATCTGTGAAGTCGTGGTATCAGTCCGGTCGAGCCTATATGAATACCCATTTGTGCCGAAGCATGGCTCTTCCACATTCAATCTTTTTTACATCCTTATTAAAGTGACATGATCACGTACATCTACTTGTTTATTATAATTTATGAATAGTCTATTTATCGAGGTAGGCTATAGACTATAAATCTATAATATAGAAATGGAACGCGAAATGTGTTGGTAAGCGCATAACTCAAAAACGGCTGGACCAATTTTGCTAACACCTTTTGTTTTGTATTTATTATTACCAGGAGAAGGTTTTATCAAAGAAAATATTAGAAAAGTAAAGGGGAAGAGTAGGAAAAAGTGACTCTTTGATAGCGAGATAGTTGGACCCGTGCGAAGCGGGGGTGGGCCGCTAGTATCACTATAATATCAGCTGATATTAGTAGAAGCAATAGCTAATAATAATTCAATTATAATCAAATTTCAGAGTCCGTACGAAGTGAACGTACCCGAAGATGAAGAGGTTGGGAAGACTCTCCTGGATAATATTATCGTTGAAGACAGGGATTCCGTAGGAGACAATTTGGAAGTAGGCTGTGTACCTAACGAACAGGTGAGATTTGTGAATATTGACCAGAGAATTTGATAATTTTCTTGATAAATTATTATTATTTTATGACATTCACAAAGAGTTTCAAATATTGCTTAATATGTATGTTTGCTATTTAAATTGGAGTTTATTATATAGACATATTAAATATTTTAATTTTTTTTACATCTTTCTATTAAACAAAATAAGTGCTTACTAATATAACTGTTTGACGAGATACCTCGACTAGTTTCAAATTATGCGCGGGGCTCATGTTTATGAGCAGCATTACACAACGCACAAAATACCGGATACAAAGAAGAGAATGTTTCTTCTATCGAATATTATTGTATAGTTATGTCTTTTGGGTGACTTAAAAGACAGTAAAAGTGATATTATACTATACAAAATAATAATGATCAATTTGTCTGAATCGCATATAAAAGTCTTACTGAACACCTTCCAGTGGCCCGAAGCCTGTGAAACCTTCGAAGTAGTAGCCCTAAACTCCTCAGCTCACCAGTACACCGGCGCGCTGGTACTGAGGAAACCCCTAAACTACAACGAGAGGCAGTTCTACCAGTACCAGCTGTATGCTACCGTGAGTATAATATAAATATTAACACAGCTACTAAAATTGAATTGAACTGTTCACAATAAGGTCCACCCGATGTTTTGAGAAGCCATTAGAACCTTTAACAATCAATAAAGTACAGTCAGGGATCAAAAATGCAATTGCTCTCTACCAATTTTAAAATGACCAAAATATCTCTGTAGAATAGAGTAAATGGTTGAGGACTGCTTTAATTTATAGCATAGAATCTAAATTATTGAATAAACTGGCTGTGAACCATTGAACTTTTACTACAAGGAAAATTTAGTCATTTTAAAATTGGTAGAGTGTAATTGCATTTTTGAACCCTGACTGTACATATCTTGTCATCATCATCATCTAAATCATCATCATCAGCCTATAAGTACCCACATGAGCACTGGAATTGAGCAAAACCTTCCTACGCCACGGATAAGGGACTAACGATAACTGCTACCACGATAACGATAACTACTACTGCTGCTTATGACTGCACGGTTGGCGCGGTGCCAACTCTTTGTGTGATCCACAAATTGTTGTTCTGGGTCTAGGTGTTATGTGCATGAAATTGTATGTTTGGAAATGCACTCACGACAAAGGAAAAAGCCCTAGTGTTTTCTCGTTATATATAAAAACTAGCTACTCCCGCGCGATTTCACTGGCTGCTGGGCTCCATTTGATTGTAGCGTGATGTTTTATAGCCTGTAGCACTCGGGAACATTTGTAGCTATCAATAAGTCAAAGAATTTTGGGAATCCGACAAGTGGTTCCAAAGTTTACCCCCTACATACAAACTTACAAATTTTACCTCTTTATAATATTAGTATAGATAAGTCATCATGTTCGCTCAAGATGAATTTATTGAGTTTAGTCTAAATAAAATTCCTAACCCTATCATAACAATCTTCTAAATCTTCAGGATGGCAGCCTAAACTCGACAGCTCACGTGGAGATCAAAGTGGTGGATGTCCAGAACTCTCCCCCGGTGTTCAGCGGCGCACTTAGTGGAGCCCTGGCTGAAGATGCTCCAGTCGGTACTCTGGCACTGACGGTGAAGGCAAGAGACGCTGACAGAGCTCAGCCCAGGAGTGTTGTTCTGGAATTGGTTACTAGTGAGTTGCATGTTCTTTATTAATTCTGAATCAGTGATATTTTTAAATATGGCAGTGTCGTCTGTTTGAGCTGAGTGATACCATGACCTCATAGAAAATCGATGTGAAATATTTTTGTGTTGTCTTTCCCAATACTTTCCCATGTACGTATCTCCTATTCCCAAATCCCAAACCTCAAATTCCTATAAACCCCCAAAACGAAGTATCTATTGGTGGCGTTGATGGCTAACCATCGAATAAGCCATCTGTCCATTTCTATTAATATATATACTTACTGACATGGAGGGTTTTTTTATAACATAAATACTTACCCTTTTTCTTTCAGATCCATTGGATTTCTTCTTGCTAGACAGAAATACAGGAGAATTGAGAACAGCTAAACCTCTGGACAGAGAAGCGTTAGCAGATCCATCATCTCCTCTCAATCTTACAGTTAGAGTAAGTTTTATTTATTTATCTATTTTGATTATTTTAAATAACTTATATATCCACTATCGACCTATTATTAAGAATATAGAAACTTTCGAAGTGAAATATAATCGTAATCTCCATTGCATTGGATATAACACATTACTTTGTTAATAACTTTGATAATGGTGTAGCAAAGAAAGAAAGAAGGAAAACACATTCATTCGACAAATGGGCACACAAATACAAGTTTATAAAGCAGATATTAAATTATTTACTGACCGGAGTGTAACCACGGCCTCATACACTAGCGTTAAGTTGCACATTAGAATGAGGTCGATCTAACTTCCCTAGACCCACCATCCCAGCCAACTACCCCAATGCTCAGATCTCTAAACCCAACCCAAAGACTGGCAATGCACTTGCAACTCCTTCTTATGTGGTGAGTGTCCTCGGGTGGAAAGGGAAAAGAGAAAAAAATAAGTAATTTAAAAACATTTTTCTCATTAACAGGCAACAGAAGTAGTAAACGGTGTACCAGTAATATCGGATCTGACCTCCACCCTGGCGACGGTGACCATCACCATAAAAGACGTGAATGATGAACCACCTCGCTTCAACCGCCGCGAGTACAGCGTGGAGATACCTGAGAGCTTGCCTGTGGGGACTCCGCTGCCGAACCTGGATATGGTCGTCACTGATACTGATGTGGTAAGTGGTATAAAATATAATGTTTTTTATAATAATGTGACTAAAGCCATGATAGTTCCAGCTAAGAATGAAAAAATATTCATTAATGTGAAAACTGATGACTTCTTACAAATTGTAAAACAGTTTATAGAGATTAGCTTTAGTACTTACTTATCCTTTATTGCCGGAGGTCCATAGCTACTACGTAAGCCGGTGCTGACGAGGAACTGGTTTAATACCTCATTAAGGCGTTACCCATATGTTGAAGCGCAAGCAAACATGCACTTATAAAACTGATCATTATAAAGTTCAGAAAAATAAAAAAAAACTAAAAAACTATTTGTCCATATTGTTTTCATATCAATATTGCAAGGAAACCTTCTATTTTTGTTTGCGCAATATAAATTAGATTGCGCAAAGTAAGCGCAATTTTGCGCAAGTAGTCTGATATCTTTTTTCTAGCAGTATTCTTATATTGTTATAAGCTAAGCTTATTGCGCTTCTTGTAAAAGGAGGCTTTTCGCTATTTTCTATTGTTACACATCAGACTGTATACTTAAGTTCTTTTTTTATTAAATATATCTGTATTCCAGGGTTTGAACTCCGTATTTACTCTACGTCTATCAGATGAGATGAGAGCCTTCATAGTGGAGCCTGCGACAGCTACTGGCAGTGCCTCAGTCACATTGAGGCTGAACTCTAGTCTAGATTACGAAGATCCTAATCAGAGGAAGTTTATTTTGGAGGTAAACATTGCTGTATAATGATAATTTTGGTTTCACATTTTCTGTCTTTTCCTTTATGAAATCGTCTAACATAAACGATTTTATCTCTTTGAACGAACTAAGTAGAGTTAAACCCTTGCATAACGAAGCAATAGTAGATCAACCATCTATTTAATCTTACCGTGAGAGTGAGTTTTTGCCAAAAACTTCTTGATTATTATTAGTAACACTTTTATCGCATTTTCCAGCTATTTTGATTTTAATATTTTATTTACTGTTTGCCTATGTATGTTAACAAAAACTTATAAATACGTAAATAAATACGACTCACATCTTTAGATAATAGTCTTATAGCTTAAAACCGATTTTAATTGCATCAACATATATTTTTCTATATCTCAGTTCATTCAAACAAAATACAACCTTATAAACACGACCTAAAACCCAATTTTTCACGTTGCAGGTGATAGCAGAAGAACTACACACATCCCCCCGGCTGTCGTCGAAGGCGAGCGTGACGGTGTCGCTGACGGACGTGAACGACAACGCGCCGCAGTTCGCGGAGGAGCCATACTCCGCCGCCCTCGCTGAGGCCGCCCCGCCCGGGACATGGGTCGCTGCCATACGGGCCACTGACCGGGATACTGGCAGGTGAGCCAATAAAACAAGACCCTGTAGGCTTTTTTATGTGGTAGGTCGGCAAACAAGCTAACGGATTACCTGATGGTAAGCAATCAGCGCCGCACATGGACACCCGCAACGATTGGTGGATAGGGATTAGGGATTTGGAGATTTTGGGTATGAGAAGGGATTGGGGGAGCACTCACACTGCAAATACAACGCTGTGGTTGTTTCACGCTAGTTTTCTGTAAGGCCGTGGTATCACTCAGTCGAGCCGACCCATTCATGCCGAAGCATGACTCTCCCACACTTAAGTGTTAACTAAATTTCTGATATACAACAACTGAAGAAGAATTAAAATCAAAACTTGTTTAATTAATTTCAGATTCGGCACAGAAGGTATAGTGTACCAACTTTCCGGTAACGGCGCCGAACTGTTCCAAGTGGACAATCGCAGCGGAGTGATCACCGTCGCGCCCTGCGACACGCCCGGGGTCGCGCCCTGCCTCGACTACGAAACTAGAAAGGATTATTTCTTACAGTATAAGGTAATCTTTTAACCGATTGCCTAAAAAAGAAGGCGACATTCTGGCATTTTAATCATTTATGATGCAGGGGTCGCGACCGTATTGATATTTTTTTTTTACTTTATATAAACTAGTGCTTGCCTGCGATCCCACCTGATGGTAAGCAGTGATGCAATCATTGATGGTAAGGCGCACAAGTTAATTAAGAGCCTATTCGCTCTAGCCTTGAAGACACCTAAATTATATAGTGCTTAGTATGCTGATAAATTAAATACTTAAATAACTTTAAGGATTTATTGCTAAAAACGGTAAAGTTACGCTAAATGATACTAATACTATACTAATACGAGTACGAACGCATCCGGTTTGCTGTCTGAATATGTACTGAAGCCGCACTGCACTTTGCGTGTCGTTGTTGGATTGCTAGATCAGCAAAACGAACTGAACTGCTTTTGGTAATATTTTTTTGTGGTTCGAAGGCTAACACTTTAAAGATAGTCTCATTATCTTTTCATCATCATCGGCCTATAAGTGCCCACTGCTGAGCAAAGGCCTCTTCTCACATGTAGAACGTTTGATCATTAATCACCACGCTTGCTCAATGCGTGTTGGCGATTTCAAACTTACTTACAACTAATAAGTCCAGGTTTCCTCAAGATGTTTTCCTTCACCGTATGTCAGTGGTGTCTAAATAGTCCACATTGGTACATGCCAGGTTTCGATCCTCATGTATGAGAAACGGGCGCCTTAACCTCGGGGCCACCACGACCTATGTTATTTTCATTATCTTTTAATCTCAATCATTGGGTAACCTATCTAATATTTATGTCGTTCATATCACATCATCAGCCTATTAGCCTGCTGCTCAGCAAAGCCTCTTCTCACATTGAGAAGAAGGTTTCTTCCCCACGATGTTTTTTTAATTACCGTATGTCAATGGTGTCTAAATAATCATACAAAGTACATAAAACTCGGAAAAAGTCACTTTGGTACTTGCCAGGTTTCGACGCCCTTCCCTTATGCGTGAGAAGCGCCTTAACTTCCAAAACACCACGACAATTTTATTTTTTATAACAACTTTCGGGAGACATTCTAAATTAATTTTTATGTTTTTGGCTTACTCACGTAATAATTTGACGAGATACTCAACTAGTTTCAAGCCATGCTAAAGGCCCATATAGAGTAGCAGCGCCACAGTCGCCGCGTCGCGTGTCGCGGAATGCTGCTCATGAATATGGGCCTCTAGCATGGCTTGAAACTAGTCGAGTATCTCGTCAAATTATTACGTGAGTAAGTCGAAAACATAATAATTTATTTTATTTATGCCAAAATGCAACGTATTTTGACGGAAGTAGATTCTATTATCGCTAAACTTTTGTCTTCCGCAGGCCACGGACGACGACGGCTCGGGTCAGAACACAGTGGTGTCCCTGCAGATTTCGCTGACGGACTCCAACGACAACCCGCCAGTGTTCCACACTCCCGTGTACAAAGCATCTATTGATGAAGATGCTGTGAAGTTTGAGCCAGAATTACAGGTTTGTGTACATTGACTTTTTATGTGATAGGTGCCGACCTGCGAAACTAGCCGACGGATTACCTAATGGTAAGCAATCAGCGCCGCCCTTGGAACACCAAAGGAGTTTAGAATGCGTTGCCGGCCTCTTGGGGTAAGGGTTTCGGGTATTTAGGTATTAGGAAGGGATGGGGAGAGTTGAGGTATTGGGCCTCCGGTAACCTCACTCACACGACGAAACACAACGCTGTGGTTGTTTCACGCCAATTTTTTGTGAGGCAGTGGTATCACTCCGGTCGAGGCGAACCATACGTGTCGAAGCTTGCCTCTCCCACATTTGAAAACAAGAGTTGTTCTTGGATCCCATTTTTTTATGACAGAAATCACTATATTTACCGTTAAAGACTAAAGCCAACTAAATTGTATCACATTTCTACAGGTTCAAGCCCGAGACGTGGACATATCATCCGACATCCGCTACTCGATCCTCGACCCCCCGACCCACCCGTTCTGGATAGACCCCATCAACGGCAAGATATCCGTGCGGCCTGACTCCAACGGGGTCTCGCCGCCTGAAGACAGTAATAAGATATTCTTGACTGTGCTGGTGAGTTCGATTGAAATATTTTATTATTAGTTTAGAATGGAAATTTTAGAGTGGTACGTGATAGCATGCTAAATGGCTTCCTCTCTTGTTGTCGATGCATTTACAAACATGTTCAATCACATGACATCTAGTTTTGAAATAAAAAATAATAATTCATAAGTATTTGACTGCACGGTTGGCGCGGTGGCTGGGAAACTGGCTGCCGTGCAACGTGTCGCGGGTTCGATTCCCGCACGGAACAACTCTTTGTGTGATCCACAAATTGTTGTCTGTCATCTGTGTTTTTGTACACGCACCCACGACACAGGAGAAAATCCTAATGTAGGGTAACGATTTTTTTAAATAATAAATAAATTATGAACAAATTGTTTTTGTTACGTGTGAAAAACGGATCAACACGCGCCATGTTGCCTAATCTCTGCATCGAATACGTGCAGACTAATAAAAGTCTTAGTCTAAACCTTATAAAGTCTAAAATACTAAAGTAGGGATTTTTTTTTTTTTTGTTATTTCTTTCTTTGAACATATTTGTGTACACAAAATTGAGGCATCCCCGTTAAGTTATACAATACTTGTGGTGAGGCTGCCTCGCCCTTCCCTTAGTGTCTAAGATAGATACTTAACAATATTGTGACATAAAACATTTGAAAATATTTGGTTATGGTCTAATTTTTATATATGGGTTTCGTAAATCAACTTTTTAGATATTTACAGCCTTCTTTTCAAGATTAATACTTAAAGAACGAAATAATGACGTCACGAATCCTACATAGCGCAACTGAAATTTTGCGCGCTATTAATAACTGAGAGAAAATTCCAGCGTACAACTGTTGGGCAGTAGCCGGCTAGGAATGATCACCTCGCCTGGTCGGATCTCATCAATCCTCCTTTAAGCTCTTAGGAAATTACTCTCTCTGTTCCTTAAAAATAATACTTACTAGAAATTTTAGCCTTCCTCGATAAATGGACTAACACAAAATTAATTGTTCAATTCGAATCAGTATTTTTGGAGATTAGCTCATTCAAACAAACAAGAAACAATCTCTACAGCTTTATAATACTAGTATAGATTACTTACTCACCATCTTTCTATTTTTTCTTCAGGCCACAGATGGCGTGCACAACGCGACATGTAAGGTAGAGGTAACAGTTCGCGACGTGAACAACCACGCTCCTGTCTTTGACACTGACAAATATGATGCCGATATCTCCGAAGATGCTCCTATAGGTACGTGTGATATGAGTTTGTTTTTTTATAGGATAAATCGGCAAACGAGCTTACGCATTACATGATGGTATGCAATCGATGGACAGACGACCTGATTAAGGTCGCAGGAAGCCGCTGGATGCAGGTCGCTTCCAACCGGCCTATCTGGAAGTTGTAGCAGCGATGTAACGATGCTTACGTAAATATAACGCGTTCGCAGCGCGTGCGATCTTCATTTCTATGCGATGCGTGACTTGAGGATGGTGTAGCGATGCGTACCTCACAAAGTCAATGGTAGGTCTATGTTCAGCAGTATGGACGTCCTGTGGCTGATATGAATATTATGATGATGAAGCAGTCGATGCCGCCCATTGACACTCGTAATGACAAGTGCGTTGCCGACCTCTTGTGGGCTATTACGGATTTAAGGATATGGGATTTGAGTATTGAATATGGGAGGTGGGGGAAGGATTGGGCATCCGGTTACCTCACTCACACGGCAAAGCACAACATAAGTTTTGCTTTACGCCGTTTTGCTGAGAGGCCGCGGTATCTCTCCGACCTGATATAACCATTAAAGAAATGATCAATTTAAAGGTATAAAAATGTTTCTGTACTAGATTCTTGTGGTCATACAAAGCTTAAACATATTAACAAAAAGATAATCAAGACAGATATTGGATTTTTATGTAATTCACCGCATTTTTCTATAACATATTACGCAACAATTAAAGGTCCTAATCATAAACGCAATTAGGTTCTTTTCTGCCCTACCTTATCTGCTCTAGCTAACATTTCTATCGCCATATGGACATTTTAAAACTAACAAAACATGTTCAACTTTATCTGAATGTAATCTATCCAAAATTCTATCATATTTTATATGTTTAAAATCGTCTCTCATTTCTAAAGGTACGGAAGTCGCAGCAGTTCGTGCCACAGACCTGGACAGCGGCATGAACTCCGAGCTGAAGTACTGGATACAGAAGGGGGCGCTTGACTCCTTTGCCATACACAACGACACCGGAGTTGTTACTGTATCGTCAAAGTTGGATTATGATAAACGAAACACGTATCGGATACAGATTGTTGCTACGGATTTGGGTATGTAGTTTCGTTCAGTCGAAACTAAGAAGTGACAAATTTACTATTTACTGTTATTATAAGTGTCAGGACCGTGTAAAGACTTTGTCGCGCTTTTCGACTACTAGTTAATTATGTTTTAACAGTTGTAGTATTTGTACAACCTAACCAAATGTTCTTTTGGTCGTTGTTCGTCGGACTATTCAGCAGCTTCCTATAGTAGGACTGGTTCTAATGGGACACTTCCGTGTCTGCTGACCGAATGGGTCGACTGAATCTGAACCACTGCTGAACTTACACGGTTCTTACACATTATTTAAATTTTCTTTGAGTTTGTTTTGGGATTTCTTCTAGTCAGATCGGAAATGCCGGCTTCAAATAGAATTTATTTGTGACTTAAAAAACATACGATATATGTAAAAAAGAATTATTCATCGGAAGATATACATAAAAAACAAAATATACTATAAGATTTAACAAAATCGCCTAACCAACCTTAAAAATACCTTAATAACTTCAGAAAATCTTTCCTCAGGAATACCAAGTCTAACCGGCACGACAGAGCTGACAGTCCACGTAATTAACGTGAACGACAAGAAACCATACTTCACGCCGCCCATACAACGCGCCGAAGTGTCAGCTGATGCAGACCTAGGAGTCATTGTACATAACCTCATTGCTGTGGACCCCGATATCATGGACAATGGATCCTTAGTGTATGAAATGGGGGATAAAGTCATCAGGGCTGTGGATAAGAATGGAAAGGAGGTTAGTATAGAATTTTGATAATATAGAGAACTAGCTTTTGCCTGCGACTCCGTTCGCGTGGCATAGTGACATCCTGCAGATTTTTGGTATAAAAACTATCCTATGTCGTTTCTCGAGTTCCAAACTATGTCTGTACCAATTTTCACAGAAATCGGTTTTACAGTTTAGGCGTGAAGAAAAGACAGACAGACAGAGTTTGCTTGCTTTTTAGTTTTTTTTGCTTGTATTTAACTTATGATGTCAGGGATGAATGTTCTGATTCCGCTCCAAATTAACTAACCTATCTGAAACCCGATTCCGATCGCGTTAAAATAATCGCAATTAGCTCTGTCTTATTTGTTATAATTATAGACTAATGTTGTATTTTGTTTTCACTTGAAACAACATTTTTTGGTGATATAATTATGCTAATTTAATAAAATATAGTTTTTGTCTTTACAAGAATGAATAAAACCCGTTGTGAATTAAACCTAGAAAAGCTTTTCTCACTTAAATCGCGGAATAACTAAATAAATACTAATATGAGTACCTAAATGACTTAATATTTTTTTTAAAGTCAGAACATACTTAAAACATTTTTTTTTTATATCTGAATTATAACCCACGTTAATATGGCATATGTAACTAGATAACTTATTAGCGGTTAAGAAACCCGCTTCTCATGCATAAGGGTGTGGTTTCGAAGCCTGGCAAGTACCAATGTGACTTTTTCAGAGTTATATGTACTTTTTATGCTTATTTAGACACCACTGCCATACGGTGAAGGTAAACATCGTGAAGAAACCTGGACTTATAATTTCTAATTATAAGTTTGAAATCGCCAACCCGCATTGAGCAAGCGTGGTGATTAATGCTCTTAACATTCTCTGTATGAGAAGAGGCCTTTTCTCAGCAGTGGGCACTTAAAGGCTGATGAACTAGATTACTAATAAAACTCATCAATACTTTTAATAAAAATTAATTCCATGTTCTCCCAGGTATCAGACGAAGGTATCTTCGGCACGTGGTTCACGGTACAGGCGAATGGTTCAGTGGTAGTGTCCCAACAACTGGACCGAAGTCGCGCGGCCGTACTCACCCTACCTGTGTCCGTTACTGACGCGTCCGCACCCACGCTGCAACGAGCTGATGGTACGTTCATTTGCATTCTGTTAAGAAGGGTATAAGGTTGGAATTGCATTATCATTTTTGATGTTATGAAGTTCCGTGACGTCATTGATAGAATTATAATGTTTCAGTACAGTCTATAAGCTAATAATGTATAATCAACTTGGATTCGTGGCTACCTTCATTACATAGAAACGATAGTGGATAAGAGACTGTGTAACACTGAGATTTAGAGAAATGGTTTTTTTTTATGGAATGGGTCGGCAAGAGTAGAAGGGGTAATCTGATGGTAAGCAATCAGCGCCGCCCGTGGATACCCGCAACATCGAAGGAGTTACCAGTGCGTTGCCGGCCTTTTGTAGGTAATTAGGGTAAAAGAATTTGGGGATTGAGGTTAGGAATTTCTCTCTTGCAGCGAAAAACGTCTCTGTTGATTCACGCCGATACCCAGTAAGGCCGTGAAAAACTCCGGTCGAGTCGGCCCATTCTAGTCGAAACATAATTCTTCCAAATTTCTTACATCCATCTTTAATTTGAATTTTCCTTCCCAGGCGAGCTAATAATAACAATAGTGGACGTGAACCGCCATGCGCCCGTGTTCTCCCAGCCCTCGTACCTCGACAGCATCCTGGAGGAACAGCCCGTGGGCACCGTACTCGACACTTACACCGCCACGGACAAGGAAACTCCGATACAGGCCATTGTCATACAACCACCCAATCCATACTTTGTCATTGATAATGTTACTGGTGAGTTTTTTTTATAAGTAACTAGCTTCCGCCCGCGGTTTTACTCGCGTTGGTATGTTAATAAAAAGCAGCCTATGTGTTAATGTTTTAACACATTTTTGTTGTTTGAATTTTTTGGCTGGACAAACGACGCCAGTACTACGTGTCGCGGCTTCGATTCCCGCAGAGGACAGCTCTTTGTGTGAACCTCAAATTGTTGTTCTGTGGTTTTTCTGTGATGTCTACCTACTTAGATGAAATTTTATGTTTGTACCTACATCATAGGATAGAGCTCTATTTTTCACTCACTATTTATATAGAATAGTATCAGTTTTCATCTACTTTCTCTTACAGGCGTAGTAAAAGTGGCCCAACGGATAGACTACGAGAAAGTCCACAGTATTAACTTCACGCTAGTAGCCTATGACGGAGGAGTGCCACAACTAAGTACTGCGGCGGGAGTAACGGTGCAGGTAATTATCTTTCTTTCCTCTACATACACATAATACATCATCATTGAAAGCAACACCAAAGCATAAATATGACTGTAATATAAACATCAACAACGATTTACAGGATTAATTTTATTAATTCTTTGAGAGTCAGTGCTCCAATGTTTCTCAGTACAATAGGGTCTCTTCCAACTAATCAAAGGCATACCTTTTAAGAAACCTACAAAACGTAAATTTTCTCTGTTTTGGCTCCATATTTTAACGCCATATAGCACACTTATTTCTATTTAACTATTTAACACAAATATTTAAATAGAAATAAGTATTAAATAGAAATAAGTATAGCACATTTATTTCTATTTAACTATTTAACACAAATATTTAAATAGAAATAAGTGTGCTATATTACAATTTCCGGATGAAGTTGCGGATTTTTTTCTTTTATTTTAAAGAGTGTTTTATGTTGTAAAAATAACACATTTATGTGCCATATCCTGAAGATTATATTTTTTATTTCGCATTTAACATAAGCTTCAAATGTTGTTAGAAACTTTTAAATTAAATATGAAGCAGATAATCCTCTGTAAACGGGACAATGAATTTTATGACCTTAATTATAAGGTTCAATGTACCATTTCATTACTATTAATAAGGATAATTATTATTAAACAAAAGGTACTGAATGCTAACGACGAGGAGCCAGTGTTTGCGGCGAGCGCGTATGACGGGGTCGTGGAGGAGCACGCCGCGCCGGGGACCAGTGTGCTTATTGTCAACGCTGTGGATAAAGATGAAGGTAAGGACTTAAGTTAAAATAAACCTTATCATTGAAAAAATTAGGTCGGTAATCGAGTAAAAAGAGTTCCTGATAGTAAGAAATTGGTATTGCCGTAACGCATAGAAGATCGTCGCGGGACTGGTAAGATTCGGGAAATTGAGGATTTCGGCTTAAAGATAAGATATTTTTTATGGTACATATCGGCAAACGATCAGACGGATCCAATCGGCGTCGCCCATGGAACACCAAAGAAGTTACGAATGCGTTGCCTGCTTTTTGGGGTTTCGGATATTTGAGGACTGGGAAGGGATGAGGAGAGGGAGAGGTCTCGCTCACACGGCGAAACACAACGTTGTGGTTGTATCACGTCGGTTTTCTGTGAGGCCGTGGTATCAATTCGGCCAAGCCGACCCATTCTTGCCACAGCTTGGCTCTCCCACACTTGATTATGATGGTGGATCACATAACAAAGCACATGGCTAGCGTTGTTTCACGTCCGTTTTCTGTATCTAGCCGGTCCATTCGTACCGAAGCATGGCCTTGCCACGTGGAGTTCTTTGACCATATTTTTTTATTTCCAGGCGAATATGGCGAAGTTACCTACAGCCTATCAGGTGATTCTGCAAATGTCTTCAACATTGATCCTAAAACCGGCATCATAACTGTGGCAGAGGGCGCTGTAATTGACAGAGAAGTCGCAGGAGATATTTATATCAGAGCTATTGCTAGTGATAATGCGCCTGCGCATATTAGGCGGACTACTAGTGTACCGGTAAGTTTAGTTTTCATATATGCTATTTTTACGTTAGTGCAATCTATACGTTATATAGAAGTAGAAGAAGGGTAGGGAGACCTTTGCCCTGCAGTGGGACGATAACGGCTAATAATAATAATAAAATACGTTATTGCGTTCAACTTTCTGATTGTTTGGTTAACTTGAAACTAGCCAATCAGAGTGCAGAACGTCATAAAACTACCCGAGCGTACGGCGCGTAGCGTTCCGCGCGCGCCTCAAAGAGCCAATAGACCAACACAGACGAGGCCATATAGGGCTGATGCTCAGTCGGGGCTGCGGGGTAAGGCCTCGGCCTATAGCAGGAACAGGAACCGGTGTGATTATTCAGTAAGAGTCTGACACTCTCGGCGAGAGGGCTCTCCCCACCCTGGGTGATAGAAGTTATTTGATAATTTCCCCTCACAAAAAGAAACTGAAGTCATAAAAGTGTCGATCACCTACTAAAGTAAAACAAATTCACACTAGAATATAAAAAAATATAGGTAAAGTTCACTTTTCCTCACGTTGTTTTCCTTCGCCGTTTGTCTGTGGTGTCTAAATAATGTAAGAAAGTACTTAGAACTCGGAAAAAACGTCATATTTTCACTTACCAATTTTGGAAACCGCACCCTCGTGCATTAAAACAAAATCTTCAATCTAACCATCACCCAATTTTCCAGGTCCACATAAAAGTCCTCGATATAAACGACCACGCTCCAATCTTCAGTCAGAAAGTGTACAAGAGTACCATCGCCGAGAACTTGCAGCTGAATCCCCCTGCCGCCATACTGCAGGTCTTAGCTGAAGACAAGGACGAAGGGATTAACGGGAAGATTCAGTATAGCATCACTGAACAGAGCGAGCCGGGTAAGTGATTTGTAGATTGTTTTTATTTTGATTTTGTGAAAATAATAAAATAAAAGTAAATTCAATCGTTTGTAGAAGTAAAGTCACTTGAACCAAAAGTTATAGTTTTATTTATAACCTACGTTACGTTTTTTTAAGTTTATCAGATAATAAGTGCTCATTTCGGTTCTCTTTTCAGGGTTTGGTACCTAGGTAGGAAATAACGGAAGCCTTTAAATGGTTTTGTTTTTTTTTATGTGATAGATCGACACCTCCCATGGACTATCGCACACTAAAGGAGTTAAGATTACTTTGCCGATCCTTTGGGGATTAGGGTTTGAATGATTTAGGGATAGAGGAGAGACGGGGAAGATTGGGCCTTCGGTCACTTAAAAATTAATTTGTTGTTTCCTTTCTATTTTAATTAATGTCAAACTCTGCTTACGACTTTCCCTTTTTTTTCTAAATTTTAATTTGAATAAATTCAAATACCCAACCTCGTCCACCTAATAAACAAACCCGATTATCTTCCAGGAGTATTCACAGTGGACCCGAACAGCGGTATAATATACCCCGCGAAGCCGGTGGTGGGCAACACGAGCTACCAGGTGTGGGTGTCGGCGCGGGACGGGGGGGGCGCGGGCCCGCACGCGGACAGCGCGCGCCTCGACATCTCCGTACTCAGCGTCAACAGGCACGCGCCCGTCTTCCTGCAGCCTTCTGCCGATGTCAGGCATTTGGATATACCTGAAGTACGTTGGGTTTTGAGTAATATATATCTAGAAAGAAAGAAATAAAGAAAGAAATAACATTTATTTCTTTCTTACAATTACATTTTATGTTATACAAAACAACAACAAAAAAGACTAAAAGATAAAACAAAAGACCTGCGCGAGGTGAAATCTACACTCTTCCTCATAAAGTGGGTCTAATCCCACGGCAGTTAGGCACGTAATGACATCTATAATTAAACTTTGACTTTTTCATTACTATTATTCACTAGTGGTTTATTAGTTGAGTTACGCTTACACTTAAATGCTATCCGTGAAAAGCCCAAAAAAAAGAAACATATTTTTTAGTCCACGGCCGATGCGCGTGCTTAGGAATACTCATTATTTTATTCCCGCCATTACGAAACATTTTTCACTACTCCTTATTTTTTTATACATATATTATATATAGTAAATATTATTTTATTCAGAAGTGTGTTGAAAAACGTCCTATGATACACCAACTTCACACACTTGTACCATAATGAACTATTAAACTTTCGCGTTGTCGTTAAAATACGTTTAATACAAAGATGAAAATGTTGGCAACATTAGAGAGACCCATCAGTGTCTGGTCAGATACGTGGGTAGTCCTTACCTTTCAATCATCGAACGCAAGTTCGCTTGAGGTTAGGCAGATGAATTAATCAAGGCTAATAAATAGATATCATGTTC